CATACTATGAGTTATCATTTTTCTTGTGGAATATTTGAAATAACTATAATTTTCGTGTGTTACCTGCAAGGTACTGCTGTACAGATGTACCTGAATTTGGAGAAGAGAACTGTCATGTCAGTCTAGGTATTATGTAGGTTCTAATTTTTAGGGCAAAGAGAAAATCGCAGATGCAAGAAGAAAGGAGCTGTCAAAGAACACGAAAAGCGACCATCTGACTGTGGTGAATGCTTTCACTGTAAGTATGTTTTCATGTGGTTTTTTTTCTTCTAGAATTTTAATTTGAGTAATATAGATGATCCTCAGGAAAAAGCTGAGCAGTGCATGTTCTGTAGGCTTTCTTCTTTGGCTTCTACAGAAACATAAAACCAAACTGATTTTCACCCTTCTAGTGTTGCATAATCTTGTCTCCAGGCTCAGTATCCTCATTTCTGGTGGACAAGTCTGAAAAAGACAAAGGAAGTGTAGTGTTATAGTTACATTGCTGAAGTTGTTCTTGTAGAGAGCAACTTCTGGCCTCTACAAGAGGCTGAAGCCAACTTCAGAAGTGTTGGATGTTGTGCTGTGTTGTGTTGTGGTGAGGAGAGGAGGAAATAAACGGCCTGGAAAATGCAGTTACTGCCCAGAACTTTGTTAATTACAACAAAAGGTGGCTGCTCTGGCAAACACAGCCAGGTATCGCTGCCCGCCAGGGAAAAAGGAAGCTTGTGATTCAGCACATTGTGAGGTTGTGCTTTTCTGCACTGTGGTGTGTGCACGTGTACAGAGAGACCAAAGGATTTGCTTGTTCCCTGGTAGGGAACGTGGGACTGTTTGGGACCTCCAGTTTTGGCTGTCCCTGAGTTTGTGGTGTTCCCTTGCAAACGCCTTGCAGCTCCGGTTTTCATTCCTAGGGCTGGGAAGAGGCTCGGAGCTGTGGCCTCAGGAATGAGAAGGACTATTGCTGGGAATATTTCCTGTCCTCAAACACCATGCAGGTAACAGCATCCTGCCAGGCTCAGACAGGATCCCGTGTGGGGAAGAGGGGGAGCCTTTGGCACGGCGTCACTCTGGGGCAATTTTCGGTGTTTCCTAGATGCTGCATAACATGAAAGGGCAGTTTGCTGAGCATCTCCTTGCAGCTGGATTTGTGAATAGTAGAAACCCCAAGGATCCCAAATCTAATACCAACTCAGGTGACTGTGCAGGGAAAGGGAGAATTTATCCCAGCTGAAGTCTCGGCTTGCAGAACTGCCTCACTTACTTTGCTGTCTTCTGCAGGTAATGAGAAGCTGCTCAAAGCAGTCATCTGTGCTGGCCTCTATCCCAAAGTGGCAAAGATCCGGCCCAGCTTCAGCAAAAAGAGAAAAATGTGAGGGTTTGGTTTAACGTTGGTTTGTATTCAAGGGGTTTTCTACATGGCATAATTTGGCAAAGTGATGCAGTGGCTTGAGTGCATGCATGAATCTCACTTTAGAGTTGAGTTGTGGCTGCGTGTTACTTCTCTGACCAAGGGTGGGATTGTTGATTTCTTAACATCTGGATTCCTGCTAACACCTGAAATAACTTGTGTGACCTTACCATGCCATGGAAAATGTTACAACAACTCCGTAGCAGTGCTCTAAAGGGGTTCTACAGCAGCAGTTCAAACACTGTCACTTCTAGTTATTTGGGAAAAGAGCCCCTGGGGATCCTGGTCTGTTTTATCACTTCTTGTATTATCAGACTCTTTTTTTGTTGTTTTTTCTTTGAAGGGTGAAAGTTTGCACCAAGACAGATGGATCAGTTAATATCCATCCCAAATCTGTGAATGTGGAGGAAACCGAGTTCCATTATAACTGGCTTGTGTACCATTTGAAGATGAGGACCAGCAGCGTGAGTTGGAGCTGTGCTTGTGGATTTGCTTTATTATCCTCTCTTGAATGAGGCTGGATCAGGGTTCAGAGGGGACGTGAACAGCCTTTGTTCTGGGGCCTTCCTGTCCTAGGCCATTCCTTGTACACACCATCAGATTAAATCCTTTGTGATACTGGGGTATTGTACCACAAATAAGAAACTTCTGTGGTTTAGTTCTTGGGGTTTTTTTGGAGGATTTGGGTTTTCTTTAATGTCTGGCAGTAACAGGTGTAAATTCTTTTAGTTTAATTTTTTTAAATTTCAATCCAGTTTTAACACTTCTTAATATGCTGACATTTTTTCCTCTCATTGTTATGGAGCATCTGGTTTGATTTCACCACTGGGTGAAAGACTGAAAGACTTGGGACCATTTTTGCCCTTGTGCAATCTGATTTCATGTAACTTTTGTTGAACTGAGTTGTTCATGCATTTGTTCAGAATTTGTGAGTAACTGAGTAAGGATCTTCTGGAATTCTGTAGAAGTCTCATTAAGGTTACTGATGGCACCTGAGGTATTTTGAGGGTGATCAGACAATTCTGTTGTTGTGCAGATTTACCTGTATGATTGTACAGAGGTGTCTCCATACTGCCTCTTGTTCTTTGGAGGGGATATATCCATTCAGAAGGATAAGGACCAGGACACCATCGCTGTGGATGAGTGGATTGTTTTCCAGTCTCCAGAAAAAATAGCAAACTTGGTCAAGGTAACTGGTTCACAATAAGGTAGCTGGAAGGCTCAGTGTAACACTGGTTCTGCTTAGGGATTTCTGGATTTGATATTGCTGTGGATTGATTTGTCGCTCAGGGAGACGATGTTTGAAATGCACTCCCAGCAAGCAGTTCTAGCACACAAAGTAAGCAAAAGAGATCTAATTGTGCACAGATGCTGTGGGATGACTTGGTCAGTGCAGGAGAGACCCACATGGATACGTGAACATGAGAGTGGGGCTCCTCAGTTAACAGGAATGGGTTCCATTCCCACACCCACACTGATTAATACTAGATCCCAGAAATCATACCTCTTTTTTAAATTTCATTTTTATTTTAAACTGGTGTTTTTAATCCTGAGGCAGTTAGCTAAGTGCTGGGTGGGCTGTTAGAGGCATCACATCCAGAGATGGTCATCTCTCATCAAAGAGACCGGGTTTTGAGGGACAGTGTTTGATCCTGAAAACAATGTTGTGGGGAGAAGAGCAGGTGTAAAGGTTGGGAGAGCAGAGGGCCCAAGGCACGGGAATCTCTCTGTTGATGCTATGTGTAGCTCTAACTACCCATCTCTTTGCTTTTTCCTTCTTTTCCTTTATTACAACACTTCCCAGAAATTGAGAAAAGAACTCGATGATCTTCTACAAGAGAAGATAGAAAAGCCCCATCCGGTGGACTGGCAGGACATTAAGTGCAGGGACACAGCAGTGCTGACAGCCATCATAGACCTGATCACCACGCAGGAGAACGAGGGCGTCAGGAACTTCGCGCCGCGCTTCCAGGGCGAGCGCTACAGCTGACACCCTCACCAGCCCGTCACCTGCTTTTTTACAGCCTTTCTTTAGCTGAGGAACCACTTCTGTAGGGTAAGCTGGTGTCTCCTCACCCTGAGGAGCAGTTACTCGGAGCTAGTGGCAGTATGTGTATGTGCATGTGTTCTGTGCTCGCTGTAGCTTTGTGAGGGACAGAAAGGCAGTTCTTGGATGGTGTCAGGTTCTTGTCCTGCTGTAGCTGTTTTCTTTGGGTTTTTTACCCATCAGGTAACAGACATTTTTAAAAAACCTGCTAAAATACTGCTTAGTAATACCTAAACTGTTTTATTTTTTTTCTTTTAATGAGGTGTGGTGAGTAATTATACTTGCTGTGTTATTCCAGCTGTGCAGCAGTCTGCTCACCAGCACTTCCACAGAAGGTAATTACAGCTTAATTTAACTAAACTGAAAACACTTGGTGAATTTTTATGGTGGGAGGAAACAATCTTCAGAAATTCTTCTCCTTTTCTGCATTTCATCCCATTCAATTAATATTCCTTTGCTTTCTGTCCTCATCCATCATCACTACTGACTGAAATTGCCGACTGCAGAAAGCATGGTTAGATAAAATTCATGTTGGATTATGTGTTAGGGTTTCACGGCATTTGAGGGCTTTTTGTTTTTTGTTTTTTTTTTAAAGTTCATGTATGGGTTATAAGTATTCCATTAAGAGTCTTTTTTTGCAAGCCTTATTTCAACTGTTCTCAATGTTTTGAATGTTCTGTTTTGAATGATCTCCAGCTATGGAAGATTATTTGAATAACAAAGTTTGTTAAGGATTTTGAGGTTTATCCTTGAGAAAAAAAGCCTGGAAATACAACTTTTCTCCCTTCTTTGGTGTATTGTTGGGTTTCTTTCTTTGAAAAAAGGACCTTAAGCATCAGGTTCAGGAGGATTTATGCTTTACTCTGAGGAAAGCAGAAGAACTCAGGTGAAACGAGTCCAGGTACTGGCTGGACTGTGCTTTCCATTGGGTTAACAAGGGATGGAGGATGCCAAGCTCCTTGTTGGCACTGCCAGCTGCACAAAACACATTGTGTAACCTCCCTTCTCACCACCAGCTCCCTGTTTCACCTTCAGGTGTTCTAAATGAGGGGAAAAGAGATAAAACAGAGACTGTGGGGAGGGCGGAGGTGGCTGTGAGGGCTCTGAGGGGGCTGTGAGGCAGCTGGTGGCCCCAGACTCAAAGGGGAGATAAAAGGGGACTAAATAACTGATAACTCTGTGGAAATGAGAAGGAAATAATTTGTAGTGAGGAATTTCTGTGCTGGAAACAAAAGGTGTCGCTGGGGCAGCTGGGAATAAAATGGGGTCCAGCTGTGAGGGGCTGCGCGGGGCAGGGTGGCTGCTCTGGGCACAAATCCGTACTTTTTAACAGAGAAAAAGCTGGGCCTAGTGCTGGCATCGGCCTGGCTGGAGTAAATGGAATGAAGACAGTACAGGCTGGCACATGGTACCTGCAGCATTGTCCTTTTTCGTGGTCTTTGAGGAAATTATGGCTAATCTTTAAATAATTAATGCAAAACAAAGGCAAAGGGAAATGGAGCCTGGGTAAGAATGGCAGTTCTGGTTGAAGATGAGTTATGGCATTTAAAACAAAATCAGAACTTTTTTTAGTAAGGATTTAAAAGCACTTTATTGATTGTTGTCCTATAAAATCATAGAAGTCTTTTAATTCCTGAAGAACTGTGTCCAACAATAGGAAAAATGAAAAGTGTCTTTACAAAACATTACAGCATTTTTGGAAAAACTAGGTATGAAAAATATATACAGTGTATTAAAAAAAAATCTGAATAAAATTAATGCCTGGATTTATACATTCAGTTTTGTGTTAAACATCCACATGTATACAGTAGAATTTGTTAAAACAGTAGCAGTGTTTTTACTATGTTAAATAAGTCTTTGTTCCATTTACAGTTTCTCTCATTACTATATTATCAGTCCACTTATAAATTAATTTGCAAGGCTGTATAACCACTGTCACACTGTCCAGGTAAGTATTTTTGTACAAAATTACTGCCTTCCTAGTGTAGTTTAAATTATTAGAGCCACACATCTGTACAAGCACCCAATTCACACAGCACTCAAGTCAGCATCTCACGGAATAAAACCCAGCAGAGGCTGAGGAAGGCAGCAGCAGAAAGCCTTGGTACTGCAAGTTGTCCCCTCAATTCTGCACTGCTGAGACAGCAGCTGGTCCTTACAAGGGAGGGTTTTTATCAAGCACACTCACCCCTCTCTCAGACACCCTCCCCTGCTCAGCCGTGAGTGCGTTTCACGTTCTCCTCGGAGCACAGAGAGGTGAAGTGCAAGGCCTGGGCAGAGAGCTGAGGGCAGCAGAACAACTGCCCCGCTCCCAGCAGTTACTCTGCAGTAAAATACCTGTGCTGGGATGAGCAGCACCACTGCAGAGGCTGCTGCCTTTTCCTGGGCCCACAGCAGAACTCGGAGGTGCAGCTGCAGAGTCCTGGCAGCTCTGCTGGTGCCAGCTCTGCCCGTGCCGGGCTGGGCACATCCCTGGATGTGCACTGGAGAGGTAGGTCAGCCTTGACAGAGCCCGGAGCTGTCTCCAGCCCCAGCAGGGTGAGGACACAGCTACATGTTGGGTTTCCAGCCCCAGAGGGTGAGGACACGGCTGTGTTGGTCTCCAGCCCCAGCAGGGTGAGGACACGGCTGTGTTGGTCTCCAGCCCCAGGGGATGAGGACACGGCCACACGTTGGTTTCCAGCCCCAGGGGATGCGGACACGGCTGTGTTAGTCTCCAGCTCCAGGGGATGAGGACACGGCTACACGTTGGTCTCCAGCCCCAGGGGGTGAGGACACGGCTGTGTTGTGTTGGTCTCCAGCCCCGGCAGGGTGAGGACTTGGCTACACGTTGGTCTCCAGCCCCAGGGGGTGAGGACACGGCCACACGTTGGTCTCCAGCTCCAGGGGATGAGGACATGGCTGTGTTGGTCTCCAGCCCCAGCCCCAGCAGGGTGAGGACACAGCTACACATTGGTCTCCAGCCCCAGCAGGGTGAGGACACGGCCACATGTTCATCTCCAGCCCCAGGGGATGAGGACACAGCTACACGTTGGTCTCCAGCCCCAGCAGGCGCCCCATGCGCTCCATGTTCTTGTCCAGCGTGGCCCTGCAGGTGATCTCCCTGGCGCACTCCGAGGGGAACCAGCCCCTCTGGCCATCCCGCAGCCGCTCCCCCTCGTACCAGCCTGCAGGGAGGGACAACAGTGACAGCCCGGGCTGCTGGCACTGAGGGGCCTTCTGCATTTGCCTTGGCTGGGAATCCATGCCAGCTCAGGACACCTTTGGCAGACGTTTTTAGTCCAGCCAGACTAGGTAAAAAAACAATATGTGCAAGTATGGCACCGTTTTGCTATCCTTTCTGTCATTCAGATATAGTTCCAAGTAATGCTGTGGTACAGCAATGCAGCCCAAGGGACAGGATCTCTGACTTCACAGGTAATTGAGCAACAGCAAGTTAGTCCCTCACTATCAGTGCAGTTGTGGGCAGGTTTGGCCAAGAATGACACTGATCTTAGGACACCTGATCCTGTGGCAAACCCCAGAACCACCCTGTGCCAGAGCTGTGCCAGGAAGGCCCAGGCCATGGCATGACACACTGGGGCTGTTTCTCTTGGACAACCCTGGCACTCGCTAGAATGTCTGAGCTCCCTGGTTTTCGACAAATTCAATTTCCTATTTGTGGACACCTCCCATGCCAAACTGGCCAGCAGCCATGTCCTACAGCTGGCTGCATCTGCTGCTCCCTTTAGAAACCCGAACCCAAATGCTCACGTTTTCCTTGGAAGCTAAACTTTTACTCACTGCAGCCCTGTGCTAATAGCAAACAAGTTTTTGTAGCTGGATCCCCCTGCAGACGTGACAAATGGTTAAAATCCTCACTCACCATCATTCACTTTCTGATAAACCAAAACGACATCAGCGACTTGGAGGGAGAGCTCATCGGCCTGCTTGGCTGTGTATGTCCTGATGATCTCCACCTGAGCCAGCGCTGGGGAAGGAATGAGGCAGGCTCAGCTGAACCAGTCACGGGGCAGGGGCTTTTATTGCAGCACATCACCATTTATCTATAAATTTCCACTTTCCCTTCCCCCCGGGCTTAGGGCAGCTGCAGCCCAGCCCAGCCCCACGGCGGGCAGGGCGGGTGCCCAGCAGAGCCCCACCAGCCCCAGCACTTGTGACTTACTGGTCCTGTCCGTGTGGTGCCCGTCGCCGTCCTGGCCCAGCGCCGTGATCCAGCGGGCTCTGTCACTCCTGCAAAGCAGAACCTGTGTCCCAGCTCATGCCCTGGAGAATGGTCAGCCCTGAGACTGCCCCCAGTTCTTCCAGTGCCAGCACCTCTCCCTTCAGCACCTGTGAGTAACCCCCGTGTATCACCACCACTGAGTATTCTCTGCCTTCCTCACAGGGCCATACAAAGTTCTCACCCAACACTGGCACTTTTCTCCTTGGGACCCACGTGCCACAGGAGGTGGTGAAACACAATCAATCAAACCGTGCTGGAAATCTTTGGGTCAGAGAAAACATTTCAGTTTTACCTGCACAAAACTATTCCGAAGGCACACTCAACTCTCTGAACTGTTTGGCCTTGGAAATTTCCTTCCCATCCTTCTCAAAAGATAAGACTATAAAAATAGTTAACTTAAAATACAGGAATTTTTTTCAGACTCTTGCTCTGAGTGGTGATCAGCTGGACTGCTATTTATACTGCAAACAGCACAGAACAAATCAATAATAAGTCTGCAGAACAAAATGTCTCTTCATACAAAGCCCAGACAACTAAAAATGTCCCGCATTTTTTCCCCAATAAAATTGCATTTCCAAACAAGTCTGAATCATCTCCTGCTTTCATAATGAGATCTTTAATAGAAAGCACTGATGATCTTCAGTTCCTTTCACGGATATTCCAAACTTTGAAAGCCAACCTAAAACGATCGATTTTTCCAGGCAGGGACATGTCTGGAGCGCTCCCTTTCATGCCTCTGTCCCGCTCCAGCTTCCCCCAGAACAAATGAACTCTTTCAGTGCTGGGAGGCCGTGTGGAAGCTGATGGCACTGTACATCCCAGAGTGGGCGCTGGCTGCTGCTGCTTTCTCAGGCAGGACCGTCCTCAGGGTCCGTGAGAGGCAGAGCTGCTCCTGCTCTAACCCTGCTCTGCTGTGCCATCCAGCCACAGCACCATGCCAGCGTCCAGTGCCCCGCTCGGTGACACCACCCGCAGCACCCACCTCGTGTGAGGGACCCCGCACAGGAACCTGCCCGGGGCACAGCCACTGATCTCTGCAGGCAGGCTCATCCACGCTTGCCCAGCAGTTCCAATCAATAAACCAGAGTAACAGAAATTAATAAATGAACGTTTACTGCTTTGGGCAGGGCGGGAGCAGCTCACAGGATCAGGTGAGAAATCCCTCCAGTAACTGTACTCACTGAGTCTCTGCCCCCAGCAGCATCTCCCCCCTGTCCCCGGCGTGGTTGCAGAGCAGCAGGAGCCTGAAGAGGTGGCAGGCAGAAGGGCGGTGGAGCATCCCGGCCGCGCTCCTGGCCGGAGAGGAGCTGGGCTCCTCCCCAGCACAGGGCAGCACCAGCAGCTGCTCCCGCAGCGAGTACTCGGTGACGTTGTAGCTCTCCTCACTGCAGGAAGAACACACAGCCAGGTTTGGATTCCCACTCTGCCTGTCTGGAACCACCCCAGCCACAGACACATCCCACACCGCAGCAGGGACAGTTCTCCCAGCTCCACGCGGGGTGACCACTCCTGCCAGAGCTCTGGTGTGACACAAAGCCCAGGCTCAGCTCCCAGGGACATTTCCACCTCTGTTCCGGGAAATAAAGAGATGGCTTTGGCTTCTGTCTGCAGAATGACTTTGTGCACTCCCAAATGATGGCTTCTAATGGAACCAATCCTGCTCAGATCTCTGAATCACAGAAAGGGCTGGTTGGGGGTTGGTTTTTTTGGGTAAGTTTGGGGATTTTTGGGGTGTATTTTTTTTTAAAGAGGTCAGTTTAGTATTTCAGTCTAAATAACTCCTTAGCTAAGGGAAGAACTGGCAATCCCAGCTGGGAGCGCTACCATCACTACATGGGAATCTTGTGTCTGAAAAAGAAATGTGTCTATGCATTTGTGCAATGAATAATAAATGCATTTCTTATGAATTAATCAACTAGTCTGTACATGTGCACAGCTAATCATAACACCACTTCTTACTAACCAACAGATAAACCTCTACAAATCCTTCCTACTCCCCACTTCCATCCCACAAACCAACTGCAAGACTGGGCTGACCCTTCCCAAGCAGCAGCCATGGCTCGGCTGGCCTCGGCCCAGGATCCAGCACCCCAAACCTGCTGGCACTCACTGCTCCTCTCAGGACACTGCTTGGCAAGTATTGTGTCAGTTTTAACATTAAAAAATCAGACCGTGTCTACCCACAGCAGGGGCTACAAGGACAACTGTCAGAAGAAACATTCCAGATAAACTAAAAGCCGGACAGAGGGAAAAGTGGACTTTTATCCCCCTTCAAAGCCTTGCCTGCATTCCAAATCCCCGTGTCCCCTCCTGCCCCGTGCTGGGGAGCAGCCCAGCCCTTCGTGCACTGCTAAGAATCTCCTGAGATTCAGCTGCTCAAGGAAAAGCACAAACGTTCGACCCCAGCTAGCAACAAGCATTTCTGTCTGCTGCTGTGGTGCCGTGGCAGCTCTGTGGGCGTGCTGGGAGCCCTGGCACCTTCACCCAGCCCTGGCACTCGGGCAGAGGGAGCCTCGTGCTCCCGCAATCCTGGCAAGCGTGCGGGGGAAAGGACATTCCCAATACTTTATCCTTCCCAAACTTGTCTCTGCTACGGCAGGAGAATCATCTTTTTAATTCGTCTGACAATGTGGAATCTTAACTGTGTTTGCTAAAAGTAAGTTGCAAACTTACTTTTTTAAGTTGTTTAACAAGCAGTTACTTGTTATTTGTAACCCATGATAAAGGCTCAAATAACTCCTGAACTCATTCCACAGCCAGGATCATGTTAAAAGTCACTGTGATTCAAAGACTGAACACAAAAGTATTTTATACTGGTGAAGTTCTTACCTCTTCTTCTTGGTGATGATGAGGACATCATTGAAGAGGAAGAAGTAGACCTGCTGCTTAGAGGTTCTTTTGGAAAAAAGTCCAGTGTCTTCTACATAAGCTGTTAATTCACCCCTTTTCACCAACCACCGTGAAGAGGAAACCAATGGAAATGGCTGCAGGACAAGAAAATCACATTGTAAACCTTGCAAATTAGAGAATTTTTGAAAAACAGACAACAGACTACAATACAATCCATTTGGGAAAAATAAATTTGAATAAACTCAAAGCTCAGAGATTACAAACACAAAGAGGTTACCAAAGTTTAAGGGACTGCACCACTGCTACAACACACAGGCAGCAGCTGCAAATACCTGGGAAGCACTCGGGCACCTGTCATCAGTGCTCACTGAAAAGAGAAATGAACAGACCTGACTGATCCCACTGGGGCTGGAACAGACTGAGACCTCCTGAGGCACAGAGCAAAGCCTGATTCAGGAATGTGTCTGCAGGGCGAGAGCAGCTCCCACAGCACCAGGGACATGGGAGTGTCCTCGGGACGCACGGCCTTCCTGGAGCAGAGGTGACATTCCCTGTGCCCTTGGAGCAGAGGTGACATTCCCTGTGCCCTCCCTGAAGCAGAGGTGACATTCCCTGTGCCCTTTCCAGAGCAGAGGTGACATTCCCTGTGCCGTGTCACCCAGGAAAGGCGGGCAGGGGTGCCCAAAGCCTCCTCGCCCCAGGAGGTGAGGCACAGCCTCCTTCCCTCCACACCTCTGACGTGCTCCCCCTCAGCAGCAGCACAGGAAGGTTTCCCCGGCCTTGCTGTTCTCCTGAGTGTCCCAGCTACTGAAAATGCTGCTTAGGGCCCCACAGCTCCTCCTGACCCAGCTCAGGTGGAGGGAGCAGCAGCTCCTTTCTCCCCAGGTGAGGTCAACACCTGCAGCAGCTGCACCAAAGCCCAGAGGGTCTGAGCTGCCTGATGTGAAGAACTTGCCTTTATTAATCCCAACGATTCCCAGCTGCAGGAGACACAGAGCCCACGGGAGGCCCTTTTGTTCCTCTGGGCCAGGAGGATGGAGGGGATGTGGGACTGTCCTGGTGACACAGACGCTCCAGGCAGACCAAGTCTGCACTAATGAACACGCCTGCCTGTTTTCCCCTCATGTAAGCACCTTTCACACACTTTAAACAGCATCCCTCGATGCAGTGTGTCAGCTGCCTTCCCCATTCTGCATGAGTTGGCTTTCTGCATCCCTTAATCCCTGCAGGCAGCCTGCCTGTACCTGCTGGGCCAAACCAAACCCGGCGCTGGGCTGAGACCTCAGTGCTGGAGAACACACACCCACTCCCCAAAACAAACCCCCACAACTGCTCTCCTGCAAAACAGGTAAAATGCAAGAACAAAACCTGCTGAAACTTCATTAAAAATTGAATTGCACAGCTGAGCCATGTACACAAGCAACACAAGATTTGAGTCACTTCCCTTGGGCTCCCATGAAGCTCTCCACAGTTACAACCAACAAAATAATAAACAACCTCCAAAACTCTGTGAGGCTGGGCAAGAACAGAAATACTTCAACTGATTTATAATGGCTGTAAAACAGAATTACAGTCCCATGATGATTGCTTTACAAGCAAAAAATACTTTTAAAAGTTCTATTTGAGGATGAACAAAAAATTCCTCTAATCTGTACTCCAAATGAGTTCATTTTCCTAATTGACTCCCTTCCAGAGGCAGCTTGGTTTTACTTTAATTTTTCCTTAATTGCCAAAGGAGCAAATCACGTGCACCATGTCCCTGCTGCAGAAAAGAGGCTCTCAGAAGGGAAAAATGCATTTAACCAGAGCGGGACTTCCCTGCCCTGGGGCCTGAGGGGCTGCAGGGCTGGGGCTGGATGCACCGAGGGAAATCTCACACAAAAGACAAAGCCCCAGGGCAGGTGGGGTGGCCCAGGAGCCACAGAGGAACAGAGAGGGACGGGCAGGGCCAGAGGGACTCCAGACCCCGCAGATCCCCCTGGAGCAGCTCAGCCCCAGCCGGGCTGGACTCACAGAAGATTGGGTCTGGTCAGGAAATGCTCTGCTGCCACTTGCCCAGAAGTGTAATCTTTGTTGTTGCTGTTGCTATAAGCAAATATTATCACTGTGAATTTTTAGACAAAAATTGAGAATAAAAATACTTTAGGCAAATTGAAAATGTATTTTTGGAGGCAGCATTTGCCCCCAGCCAGTCCCAGAGCCTTTCAAGAGCTGTGCTTTTAAAACCATGAAGCAACCTCCACTCACTACGTGCCAGATAATGAAAAAATCTTCTCCCAGAAGAATCCTCACTGTGTAATGGAAGCAGACATCAATTACAGAAATGGGATTGTAGCAAACATTGAATAGAAACAATAAATGTACTTGAAGAAAATCCAATAAACCCTACCTATGACTGGATCTGCTGTTGTTTCCTACAAAAGACTGACTGTACAGGGAGTTCCTAACAGAAACCTGTGATACCCACCCTTGAGGGGAAGGACAAACACCCCCTGGATCCTTCCCTGGCCTGCAAGTGTTTTCCCAGGCACACCCTTCCCATCAGGTACCTAAGCAAATCTGAGCAGTGAGCAGCAGCCTTTGGCCGCTCTCCTAATGCCAAAATCTTCACAGCAGCTTTATCTTTACAGCAAAGAATACTCTACACTCAGTATTTATGCCAAATCCCTTGTGCTGCAGCATCACCTTCTACTAAAACTAAAATAGTTGACCAAAAGTTTTAATTTGTGTTGTGCCACAACAGATCCCTTCGCAAGAATCACTGTTGGATATGACACGCAGAGGAAGTTCCACTGTTCACTGTCCTGGCTGGGCAGGAACATGATCCTCATCCTACCTTGATTTTGAATTCCAGCTGGGAGTTGATCGTGTACATCATCTCCGTCCTCTCCATCTTGCGGGCGCCCTCGTTGCACAGACGCACGAGCTGCAAGGGGAGAGGGGCTGAGCAGGGCCCCGAGCCTCCAGCACTGCTGCTGCTCCCGTGGGAGGGCTCTGCTGGGGCACGGAGCCAGCAGGGCTCTGCTGGGGCACAGAGGCACTGCTGGGGCACAGAGGCACTGCTGGGGCACGGAGCCAGCAGGGCACTGCTGGGGCACTTCTAGGGCACAGAGCCCCAGCAGGACACAGAGCCAGCAGGGCACAGAGCCCAGCAGGGCACACAGCCCCAGCAGGGCACAGAGGCACTGCTAGGACACAGCCCCAGCAGGGGCACGAGGTGTTTGCAGGGCACAGCGACCAGGGCTGGCCCCACAGCCCTGATCCCACAGTCTGTGGTTCTCCAGGGGGAACAAAGGCTCAGCCCAAGCTCTGGCTGAGCAGGGCCACTGCCCTGCCCAGGCTGCTGATCAGCTCCAAACACACCCCCTGCTCCCAGCTGGACTGACTTCCCACACTGCTCCCCACACAAACCTGGAATCACCACAGCATCATCCAGCTTGGGATCTTTTCCCGAGCAGGAGCCAGTCATTCTGCACAAACCCAGTCCCCAGTGCCCTTCCTCAAATGCAACAATGCAGAGCCCTTATGCTTCAGTGCTCTTCCTGCCATTTTTCACTGGAAGCACACAGGAATTAACTGAGAACGTACCTTGCTGACTTCTTTCAGAGCCTGCTTGCAGTTCTCGTATTTTGCTGAATCCTTGGGGGTTTTCTGGCAAATAGTCTGAAAGAAAACAGCAGTCACTTCAGAGGAGCAAGCAGCACAGACTGCAACCCCCAGAGATTTCACATCTTAACTGGAATCCAGGAGCTGAATCACAGCTGTGGACTGAGATCAAGAGGGAACACTGGTCACTTGGTCACACTAAGGAATGCCTCCCTGGAAAGGTTTGGGAACAAAGTGATGCTTTGCACCTCTCAGGATGAGGTTTATGCAGCCATCTCCAAACAAAAAAAACAACAAAATTACAAGAGTGGGAAATAAAATGCTTGATTTGATTGTTTAGATTCTAATTTCAACCAAAGAGGGGAAGGAAGTATAGGGGGAAAAAAACCCAAGAAGGGGAAGGCACCCCCAGTGACACTGCAGGAATACTGGATTATTATTCCATTTTTTACCTAGAAATGTACTGCAGAAAAGAGAGAATTCAACATCTGTGAATGAACTAACGATCCAGGTGATCAAATTCATCAGTGCTCAATTTAAAAATATACAGAACAAAATTATCAGTTCTGTTTCTGGCTCCTACCAGTGCTGGAAGCTGAGCCTGAACACAATCTGCACTCCTGCTGGTGCTCCAGCTCCTCACTTAGCCCTGGCACCCAAACTGAACTAGCCCAACTGCTGGTGTGAACTCTGCCTGACAAACACTCCCTGCACTTCCATCACTCTCTCTGACTGCTGTCACTGCACAGGGAGGGACAGCTCAGTGCCACTCACACAGCTCCCCTGGGAATGGAGCCCATCCTTCAGCTTCCCAGGAGATTCCCTGCCTAAGGCTCTCACCCATCCTACAGGACAGCAGGTCTTGTTTTTCAGCAGCAGGGCTCATTCCAGTCCTAGCACTACACACAATTCACATGCTGGTTCCTCCTGAGTTTCAGAACCATTCTGACCCTTTATGTGCAGTTTTCCTACCAGAACATCCAAGTATTTATCTTGTGACTGGGGAGCAGGAGGGCCCAGTCCCAGCCAGGAAACAAACGCAGCAGGAACCCACAATCCAGGAGTGGTAAGGGAGAAGGCATGAAGACACTGGAGAGAACCAGCACTGAGAGAACGCTAACACTGCCAGAAGAAGCAGCAAGGGGAGGGGGAAGCAGGAGTTCTCACATCCATCAGCAAGGGCAGGCGAGTGACTCTCTGCATGGGGAGGATGAGGAAGGAGATCATGGGCAAGTTCCGGCAATCCTCGTGGGACTCGATCCGGGACAACACCTCCTTAAACGCCGGGTTTGTGGCTCTGGGGAGAGAGAGGGTGCAAGGACTCAGTGGGATATTTTACATTTCAAATAAACCATTATTTTATAAAAAGGAAGTGTGATTGGCAGGAGTCAGACCACCCCAGCTTTCAGCTTTATTCCCTCAGATCCACCAGCCCAGCAGAGACATTACACCTCGGGAGCTGCCACCCCTGACTGCGAGGGCAGACCCAGGTGTGCCACACAGGGCCACTGTCACACCGTGTGACACCGAGCTGCTGGAGGAAGGGGAAGGTGAGCCGTGAGCTGGCAGGAGGGGGCTGTGCAGCTGGCAGCCAGAGGAAGGCACCCAGCAGGGCAGCCCAGGCTGGCAGGGGCACAGCCCAGCCCAGCCCAGCCCAGGTTGGCCCAGCCCAGCCCAGGTTGGCCCAGCCCAGCCCAGCCCAGGTTGGCCCAGCCCAGCCCAGCCCAGGTTGGCACAGCCCAGCCCAGCCCAGGTTGGCCCAGCCCAGCCCAGCCCAGCCCAGCTTGGCCCAGCCCAGCCCAGCCCAGCCCAGCCCAGCCCTGCTCACAGCAGTCTCTGCAGGGTGCGCTGCTGGTACACCTCGTTGCTGCAGTACTTGACGTAGGGGTCGAAGGTGCAGCCCGCGTGCCTCGCCACGATGTCGCTGATGTCGTCGATGAAAATGTTGTTCTGGTGCCTTGCCTCGAGCTCTTCAAAGAACCTGGGGGGTTAAAAATTCAAATCAGTTGCTGATTTCTACGTGCAAACAGCACCTTCCTCTCACAGTGCTCCCCTGACACAACCCAGCCACCAAACCCGGCCAGCTGGGCTGGTGCTGCAGGCGAGCCCACCCCTCCTCCGGCAGGGCACGAGGGCACTGCTGCCAGGACACGGGCCCAGGCTGCTCCCACTCGCCCACTGCCACAACCAAACAGCATCACTGAGCTGGTCAGACCAGAATTTCCAGAAACGGGGCTGGGGAAGAAATGAAACTCCTCCATACACGCATTAACACATTTCCTCTTGCCATTAAGGCAGCAGAAGTCCTCCGTGGAGCTCAGGCGTGTGTGGCTGTTGATCCAAGCACAAAGGCTCGTGGTGGTGGAGCAGGACAGGGCACTCCACATCCTGCAGCCCTCCTCTGGAAACACTGCACATGGGCACAGAACCCAAACCCTGAGCTGGCTCTCCCCCTTACCATGACAACTTCCCCACTGTCTGTCCCTGCCCCACGTGCGAGTCCCTGGCACTGGGAGCCTTTCTGCACTCCCAGCGTTCCCAAAGCACAAGCCTTGATTTCCATGGTGCTCACTGGAAATCCCCCACTGCCGGGGTGGAACAGCTCACAGATCAGCTCTGCAGCTCACCCCCACACAGGAAAAGCTGTCCTGGCTGAAGCCTTCGTACAACAGCGTTCACAGCAAGAATCCTCAACTCCCCAGAGTCAACAAGTTCATAAAAAGTTCTCACACAGCACAGAAAACGTTAAGGAAACACTTAGAACACATGAGCTCACATTAAGCTCTAATATTTTGAAATCTGCTTTATTTGATCTCAGCCCTTTACTCAATTTTTTATCACCAACAGCGGCTCTTCAAATCTGCCACCATTGTCAAGTGATGCTCTCCAGTTTGCTTTGGAGCACACCTCAAGCACACGAGAGGAGCAGAAGAGGACAGCAGCAGCCGGTGGTGCAGCAGCAGGGCTGAACTCAATAAATTAAGGCTCTCTCCAGGTGTGCCTACAGCAGCTGCTGCACCAGCGGCTGCCAGGCTCAGTGGCTCAGCCAGGGGGATTTCGGTCTGGATTTGGGCTTTTTGTGGAGCTCTGACACAGTAAGTGCACAGGCACTGGCTGGTGGGCAGCTCTGCCTGCAGGTGCTGAGCAGGATCTGTCAGAGCCCTGCCCCTGCTGCAGGCAGAGCCCCAGCACCTCCCGTCCCCCACGCTGCCTCCTCCAAGGCACAGCACATCCCGAGCTGCCAACACTGCTCCTGTGCTCTGCACTCGGGTCTGGTGCCAGCACCAGCCCCAAGGCACACACAGACATCAAATTACAGAAAAAAGAACCTCCAAGTGTGGGGTTTGCAGTGTCCCAGGAGGCACAGCAGAGCCCCATCCCACACTGGGGTTTGTTTCTCTCTGCTCAGACGAGTTTATGGCTGGGAGAACCTCCCACAGCTGCCAATTCCCTTTGCTCAGGAAATGAGGAAATCCAACATTTCCTGCTGTGTTATGGCACACTGACAAGGTGTTGGACCCTGCTGGGACACAACTTCCACCTTTACAATTTATCTGGCGCTTCATCAGTGACAGCACCAGCGACAGTCACTGTAAGACTGGTAAAATCTCAGAGAGCAGAAGACAGAAAAAAAAGAAAAGAAAAGAAAAAAGGGAAAAGAGGGACAAAGAGGAGCAGTATGTCAAAGTCCCATCTCCCAATATGTCCCATAAAAAAAATCCTGCATCAAAGTTTGAATCAAAAGCTGTAGTTTTCCATATCTAATCTGCTAATTATTACATAAATCAGTGAACCAGACACATCATAAACCCTTTCACTTGCAATTTTAGGACAGATTCTGCCATAAAGCTCAGGACTGAGGGATGGATTATTCCATTCAATTTAACCAACAAGGAATTTGCTGTGATGTGTGCAGCTATTTTTGCTGAATGTCAGAAGGATTTACTTCAAACATCTCTTTGTCAAATCCAGGACTTTTCTGGTTAAAGTTAGATCCAATTCAGAGAAAGTCAAACAGCATTTTAGAACAGACACTTCCCTGGGACTCCTCTTTCCCCAGAGAGGCTCCTGGGCAGCTGCCTGAGCCTGGCACTGATTTCTCAGGCTGCACTCCTGCCTCCTGCCAGGCTGAGCTGCCCCTGGCATCCCCAGAGCTCTGAGCAGGGCTGCACCAGCGAGGTTTGGGTCCCAGCAGCAGTGCCCTGCACACCCCACCGGGGCCAGGGAGCTGCAGCTCCCCGCAGCCACTTCCAGGGGATGCCAGGACCACAGGCAGCACGGGCTGCACAGGTCATTCATCTCCACTCCCCTGTGCCACACCGTCCAGGAGCTCCCAGAAGAGAGACAGTCTCTGCTCTCTGCATTCTGCTCCCAACAAAGGCAGCTTTGTTCCCCAGGCACGGCCCTGTCAGCCCTGCAGGCCTGTCCTGGTGTTACTGGAGACTTTCCATTAAACACGTGCCAAGTCCAAGTTCCTAGACAGAGGCTTTGAGCAGTTTCGACTGAAGGTTTGTATAAAGTATTTTTATCAGCTCTGCTTCTTCAGCTCACCAAACTTTTGTCCAAGCACCCAAAACCACTGGCAACTACACTCACACTCAGGTTTTGTACTAAGCAAAGGCTGCTTAAAAACCAGCAGAATGGGACAGATGCTCCCCTTTATAACAAAAGGGTGAATTCTGCTGCTTTGAAACACCTTGAAAACAGAAAGCAACAGCTTGGAGATACCAAGCTGGTATCTGGCTTAAAATCATTTCCATTGTTCACACAAATGACGTTGCTCAAAGCCAGCACAAAGTTTTGTTTTAGTTTGACAGTATTGCAAAACTTGGGAATTAAATTATGTTTTCATTTAAGGTTAAAAAGGAGTTATGACTTCTGATTTTACCCCAAGTCATAAAAAACCAAGTTCTTAGACCACAAGACTTCACAGATAAGAAAGAATAAGACTCTAATTCTAGGCTAGTGTGGTATTTTTCCATTCTTCTTTTTTCCTCTCCCTCCCACTTCCTTTGAAGACTATTAATCAAAAGAGAAGTTAGAGTTCCCCTAAGAGCACTGCTCTCCCCATCCCCATTGTCCTTTACACCTCATACTTTGTGTAAGGAGTACCTGAAAAAGGAACTTTTCCTTGAAAACAAAGCCTTTGATGAGCTGCACTCACTCCCTGACAGCAGTGCCACCAGACTGGGGTGGCCCTGGGCCACACAGCTCCCAGCTCTGGCAGAAGCACGGGACAAAGAAAGGGCAATGGGAGGGAGAAAGGAAGGGACCCAGCCAAGCCCAGACCTTCTCCTGCTCTGTAGGTCCTCAGCTGGGTTTGCACTTGACACAGCACATCAGCCTCCAAAAATCAAGATCTTGCTGCTGCATGAACTTCAGAAGACAAAAGTCAAACTCTCCACAACAGATGTCAAATTCCACAGACTTTGTGGTGTCTCAGAGAAAAAAAAACAATAAATGACTTTACTGTGACTTGGAACATGGACCTTCACAAGTTCCACCAAAGGTAAATGAGGGTTTCATGCTAAAGAATTCACAAGTTTGCAATTTCCACCACGGGGACAAAAGAAAGGGGAACAAAATAAAAAAACCCATTCAGAATCCTTGTTAAACCTCCAGCCCTCCTTTTGAAATTTCTCTGTTCCACAGGTAAAGAGATCCATGTAAAGCTGTACAGAGCTGCAGCTGTGACCACTCAGCACCTTCTGCAGGCCACCAGCCCCCTGCAGCCACCGTGCTCACTGCAGAGTGCAAATCAGGGACAAGAAAAGCAACCCAGACACTTTGGTGCTTCAGTAATGTGGAACACATAATCCACCTGCTGCAGAACAAAACTGCAAGGAAGCAAAGCCACATCCAGGAACTTTTTGAGGAGTGTGAAGTACTCTGAGAGCACATACATATGCATGCCCTGGATTAAATAACACTGGCTGTAATTACTGACAGGAACTAGACTGTTCTGCACTTGTATCATGCAAGATCTGCCATTTCCTCTTCCTCAGGCACTATCTGTACGTGTCTTGTTTCATTTGCTCCCCTCCAGACTGAAGGAATGTGCCCAAAGGCAGCAGCAGAGCAGAGCTGATCCCTGTGGCAGCAGAGCCAGGCCCTGTGCTCACACAGGGGTGACAGTCCCAGGACAGCACCTGACACCAGCCAGCTCTCCAGGGCAAGTAGGGAGCTCCAGCTCAAACCTCAGAGCTCAGCAGGGCAGGCTGAGCTTTATCTGATGCCCTGTAAGGACCAGGTCTGGCTGCCTGATCTGCAATTAGCCCAGAACTGTTCAGATTTGGAGGATGCTGATTTCCACCACGACTCACTCTGTGCTTTCCTTCCCTCTCCATTCTCAGACACAAGTGCCAGGCCAGCCCCTCACACTCCTGTGCACATCTCTGCCACTTGTACCTTCCATCTCCAAACCAGCAGAGTTTTGGAAGAAATGCTCACCACTAAAATGGTTAACCCAGGTCCAAAAAGAAACCTGCTGCTGTGTTCAAGGATGTACAGGTCTGTTAATACAGAAATGCCACACTCACTTTTTGCTTGCTTCATAAACATCTGTGATGTTGGAGAAGAGGTGGTGGCTCTCGGTTTTGGTCATTGTGAGGCTCAGCTCCCTGGAATTTTTAAACATCCGGATCAGAATCTCCAAGCTCAGCAGATAGGAGTGCTCAGAAGATATCACCTCAAATATTGCCTGGAAAGTGAAGGGGGAAAAGAAGAGACTTACTAGTGATTGGGCTTTTTTCCTTAAAAACAAAAAGAAAATGTTGAGCAGGGTGCAAAGCAAAGTTTTGGATGTAAGCTAGAGATTATGACTTAAATATTCATCTCTATAACAGTTGCATCACTAATTAGAAATAAGTGATCTAATACTAGAAAAAAAGTCTTTTTTAACAAGTCCATACTCAGAGTTTTCAATGCAATTGCAAAGCAGGAGACTGAAGAGAATTCCACAGCAGGTGTGACCCCAAGAGCACAGAGTGAGGCTGGAGGGAGCAGCCTGAGGTCCCTGCTGCAGCTCTCCCTCCCAGCCTGGGAACAAACCCTCAGCACAGGCAGGAACGGGGCAGGCACTTTGCTTCTGATGTGCAAGGCAGGAAAATTGGGAACAAATCCTCAGCACAGCAGGAACGGGGCAGGCACTGTGCTCCTGATGTGCAAGGAAGGGAAAATTTGGAACAAAGCCCTCAGCACAGGCAGGAACGGGGCAGGCACTTTGCTTCTGATGTGCAAGGTGGGAGAATCACCCCAGCATGACCCAAACACCCTCTGGAGAACACGAAGCACAGAAGGGGGCCTGGCACACACCCGGGGCTGCCTGCTGGGCACTCCTGGGCTGGGCTGGGCTCACCTGCACAGAGCAGGGCCAGGGGATGGGAGCCCCAGGGACAGTTCACTCCCAGGGCACACGTGCTCACTGCAGCTGCTACACACACACAGGCAGTTTAGGCTTGCAAGGAAACACCTTCTGAAAATCATTTTAGTTCAAACCAGTCTGTGACTCGTTTTCTTGAGCCAAAATATGCACAGAGATCCATTTCTCTAAGAGATTCTGAAAGATGGGATGTGTGTGAAGACAGGACATGGGCATTAATCAAGGCAGAAGACAAACACATTTTTCTGCAATGACAATGTATAGAACTATAAAATAATTTAATAGGCTCTAAAAGGCAATTAAGGAACATATAAAGAATAAACAATAAAAGGTAGTTTAAAGGAAATACAGCAAAAGCATGAATTAGTAATGTAACTGCAGCCTAAAAACATTTATTTAGGCTCCCACTGAAAGACCTGGCCTCTAAAACTCAAATTAAAAACCCTCAGGCATGAAAACATTTTTGTTAACATTGAAGACTTTACATTTAAAATTAATCCAAAGAACTTGTTCTTTTTGAAAGGATGCAAGTATGGCTCCAAGAAACACAGACGAATGGCTCCTAAAGGACATAACTGAAATATATATACTGAAATATATACTGCCTGGTCTCAAAGCTTCCCAGCAGGAGGAGCTGAGGGAGTTCTGAAGAGGAATGAAGACACTGGGCCAGGCTGGCATGGCAGGTAAGGCTGCAGGGCTCCTGGGCAAGCCCTGCCTGCTGTGCAGGGAAGGACACACCTGAGGAGCTGCAGGACCCAGCTGCCCTGGCCACCCACCCCTGGCACTGCCCTGCAGCGAGGAGGGGACAGCAGATGGACACCAGAGCACAGGGAAGAGGAGGAGCAGGACACAAGGAGCAGAGGCAGACAGAGAGCAGCCAAGCAGCCCTTGTGGGTGCTGCTGGCAGCAGGGAGGCCCTGCTCTGCCCCAGGGCCAGCTGGGCTCCAGCAGGCACAGCTCCAGCCCACGCTGCTCACAGGGCTGGGCACAGCCCAGGGACTTGTGACAGCTGCTCGGGGCTCCTCCCTGCTATAAAAACTGCCGTGCCACGTCCCCTCTGTGAGCTGGAGCTAATGGCACCTCTTCCCTGGCACAGCAGCGACCCTGCTGCTGCCAGGCTGGAGCCCCTGGCATGGACACAGGCACCTCAGCACCGACTGGGGTCATTCTCTCTCCCTGGGCAGAGAGGACACTTCACTGGAGGGCAGGAAGCCAAGCACGGAACTCTTATCAGCACCTCCTTATCAAAAGCAGAGCACAGAGCCAGGCTGCAGTGCAGCCCTGAGCAGCCAAAGCACAGAGTACCTCCTGTCTCTTCCTTTCCTCCAGGCTGATGGCTTCTGACAGGCCATTCTTCTTCACCTACAAAGATAAATCAGAGGGTATTTTAAATACCTTTTGTGGGGAAATGCAATTAAAAGGAGAGACAGGACTAGCAAAACCTGGAAAGCAAAGCACCAAGGAGGACCTGTGTTCTAAACACAGAACCCAGCTCAGGAGGGACACCAGGGCAAGGGAAGGGAAAGGGCCACAGCAGCACAGACGTGGAGCAGAGGCACGTCACAGACACAAGAACCCCCACCCATTTCTGTCAGTCTCCTCCAAAAGCTCCTAACTTGCTATCACCAACAGCTTTCTCTTCTTGCTCCACCTGCTCCCTGGAATTTTAAAGGATCTATTACTCCTCATTTTATTCCTGCACAGCAGGCCCCACAGTGCTGGACAGCAGGAATGAAGAGGTGCCACACCAAAGGACAGACTCTCAGGTAAATGCCTGTGGAAGTCACTTCAGCATTCCAGTGTGGGAGCCACTAACCTTTGGAACACAACTCCCAGATTCCCACAGCACCCCAAGCTGACACTTCTGGATGCTGAGCAAGATCTAATTAGATGTCTTTTTATTAAACAAAGTACATTTTAACCAGGAGCCTGAAAGCTTCAGAGCATTCCTGAGGAAGTGCAATGGCCTGAAAGGTGCAATGCAACTTTTTTCTGGATGCAGCGGAAGAGTTTTCTAAAAATAAGCCAACACAGGAAATAGCTACAAACAGATCCCCAGATCTCAGTGCTCCCTGCTGGCACAGACACTGCCAGAGTGCAGGCAGGTCCGGGGGCACCTGCTGAATCCCTGCTCCAGCCTGAGCTGGCACACACGGGTGTGTCCCACAAAGCACACATGAATTCATGGCAGTGAACCACAGGCCAAGGGCCCAGCCTTGCACTCCCCAGCACCACTTCCAAAAGACACAGGCCCAGCTATGGAGACTGCTTTGGCCATTTCTGCCAAAGAAAATGCAATACCTAGTTTCGACGTGTCCAAAATGTTTAAGCTGAAATAATCTAAAAAAAGGTCACACGTGTGATACTAAGCAGACAAAATCTTCATTTAAGCTAAGAACGTGCCCAGAAGGAATGGAAGAGGCCCAACATCACTGCTACTAACACTGGACTGGCTTTTCCCCAGCAATGACCGATTCAGCCATGGAGGGGAGAAGCAAAGGATGAAAAGAGGACAGGTGAACTCTGGTCAGGGACAAAAAGTTCCTTCAAAACAAGGAGGTGCTGAAGGGGGGAACTCCCCAGGAATCTACTAAGCTGCACCACAGCCAAAGTGACCACAAGCCCACTGATGCAGAGAGAGAAAGGGGAGCCAGTGCAGACATCAGCCCTGAAGGGCCCAGACAGCCACGCCAGGGGGTGGGCTGGTCCAGGGAGGGGAGGCAGCCCTGGGCAGGGACCCCGAGTGACCATGGACAGGGACCCCGAGTGACCATGGACAGGGACCCCGAGTGACCATGGACAGGGACCCCGAGTGACCATGGACAGGGACCCTGGACAGTGACCCCGTGAGTGACCATGGACAGTGGCCCTGGACAGTGACCCCGAGTGACCATGGACAGTGGCCCTGGACAGTGACCCTGTGAGTGACCCTGGACAGTGGCCCTGCACAGTGACCCTGTGAGTGACCCTGGACAGTGACCCCAAGTGGCCCCTAAAGCCACTCACAGCAGCTGATTTTTCCACGAATGAGAAACCAGTCACAACCAACGTGTGAATCCACTTCAGGAAGACAGGAACACCCTTTTCATCACGTTCCCATAAAGAATTTGACCACTGCAGACCCGAGGGGCAGAACCCTCAAGCACAGCATGGCCCAGAGCTCTGCTCAGCTGCCAGGGAAGGCTCCTGCAGGGACAGGGATCCCTCTGCCTCTTTCCCAGCACAGGCACTGCTCAGGAACACCACACACATGCTCCTGCTTTCCCAGCGTCTGCTGAAACCCAGCACTGACATTTTCCAGCTGACTTCCTGCAACAACTCCAGACTCACTTTTTAACTTCTTAATACATGTTGACAGCATGTAATTTTTCCAGAGTTATAAACACAGTCACTGTGAGTCTCACATTCCCAGATTTTGTTTTTCTCCACGCACCTTCTCCCATATACTCCCCAATTCCAATTTTGCAAATCAAATACAGACAGTGCACAAGTTTCTGTGTGAGGAGCAGTAAAGAACAAGTTGGTTTCTGCAAGTGAGGCACAGCACAGAATAGTTCTCCTCCTGAGATGGTCTTCATGCTATTTTTGTCTCAAAGCAAATTAGTGTTTTGAAATTATCATTATTATTACTAAATAGCATTCCTTCCAAAATACCTCAGCTGTTCAACACTTAACTGCTAGTTTACCACAAGGCAGAAAAAACAATTTGACTTCATTATAAACACTATTTTTTTTTTCAGCGTGAAGCCAATTAACTGTATTTTAAGTATGTGATTGTTGGAAAAAGAAAATTAAAGCACATCTTTACAAAATCACATTGTCTTGCCATCTTTATACTTGTTGAATCAAAGAGATTCATCTTTCAATACTTTAAACTGCAAAGGGTCATCAGCATCTGTAAGACAGCTCTGCTAATCAGACCATCTAACCAGCCTTTGGGGACCTCCCTGAGGCTCAGTCTCTCATTTATTGGGATATACAGAGCTGATGGTCAAATACTCCAGGTGATCTCGTCAGGCAGAATCTCTCTAATGCCCAAGACGAGCATCTACAACATTCTACAAGTTACATTAACAAAAAACAACCCCAAACCCTTCATGATAGGGATATCCCTCCAGAAGTCACAGAAATGATCCAAGAATAACCATGTAAACACAGAATTTCAATGGCTCCTTCAGTCCCAAAACCACACGTAGGAGAAAGAGCTGTGGCAGTACCAGCTGTTATCAGTTTTGTCAGGTTATGAGCAGGGGGGCAGTGAGGCTGCAGCCCTGGCCAGAACAGCTGAATTTACTTTGTTTAATGATGCTGCTCTACCAAAGCCCTGCAGACACTTCCCAGCCTGTGCAAGGGACAGCACAGCACCACCAGCTCTGCTCTGCACTTCTCAAAATGCTTTCCATTAAACATCTGCACTCGAGTCAGCCTAAGAGCTGCTGTGCAGTGATTCAGAACAATTGAGCAGCAACTTGTTTGTAACTAACTGAAGCCTTTCCTTAGTGTAATTCACCCTTTTAGTGAACTCACACAACCCTTTTTTAATGAATCAGGAAAGTTGTGTCTTTGCCAAATACAGGACACCAAAATGAACTTGGTTTCATTGTTTTTTATGTGAAACAAAGACCAGTAACTGACTGGGACCTCCATGTCGTTCTGATGAGATGAAAAAGATGATGACAAACTTCAGCCAAAAACTCCAGCAGCGAGTAAGGGAAGGCTGTGCTTCAACCCCCCTGAGATCCTGTCTCAGGCCATACAAGGATCACAACTCACCACGGAGAGCTGGCTCCACGTCGACCTCAGGGGCTTACAGTGAAAAACAACCTTGTCGTCCAACTTCTGCTCTTGGGGCTCAGACTCTTCATCAGAATCTATGTCCAGAGCTTTTTCCTTATAGTTCTGATATAATACAGCATTTTCTGTCAAATAACAACGGTATGTCAGTCATTGTTAGAAAGTTAGTTCCATCGCTCTCATAAAAATTTACAGTAACATTTAAACAATGAAAAAACCCAAAGTGTCACTGCACTGCTCACACTCCACGAGACAAAGATAGCAACTGATTTGGGCTGGACAATGGTGCAGCACAGTGACAATGGATCACTGTACCCAAAGATCCTCCCAGACCGAATTAAAGAACAGATGTGGCCTTTGTCAAGAAAAAAAATAGCAAACAATTTTTTCTTCCTTGGTTTGCTGTACCCAGTTCTGTAATTAACCAGCAATTAGAAAACAGGATTGTGTGTCAGTGGAGCAGTCACTGCTCTGCAGGTCTCGCTGTTTCCATGTCCAGGAAAAGCATGCTGCCCACAGCAACCCTTCTCCTGTCAACTCTGAGCGCTGTGTTCACATGTCACCTTTCCCAGGTTCAGAGATCTGAGATCGAACTATTGCACAGAGACAGTGAAAAGCCTGAGTAAGCACGAGCCCCATGAACCCTCAAACCAAACGCACTGCTGGAACTGCCAGTGGCAAAGGAACACAGGCTGGAGCACTCCTGCTTTTCCAGCCTCCCTGGCCACACAGCCCCGGCAGCAGCAGGGAGCAAGGGCAGAAATTCAGCACCACAAAACCCACAGAGCAATGCAGGCACTAAGCAGGCAGGCTCTGAAGGGTACTTTTAGATGGGCCGGCCTTTGGATAAGATCCAATCTTGCCCTTACAGGAGAAAGGGGAACTGCAGTGGAGGTTTGGCTGCCCAAGGCAGGGCCCCAGCTCGCCCGGCTGGTGGGTCTGTCCCACCTGCCCAGACCCACAGCCCTGCCCCGGTGCCAGACCAGGACCGGGGCTGCCTCTGGAGCAGCTCCTGGGGAAGGGCTGTTGAGTTACACACTTATAACAGGGGAAACTGTCACAGCAACTGAACTGTGGGAGGCATTCCAGAGACACTTATTAGCTGGGATCATCCAAGACAGACAGGACCATTGGAAGGGAATCCAGAAAACATCATGAGGAGATAGTGTGAGAAGAGATAAAAATAAAGAGTAGGGCAAGGGATGATGCAAAGAGAACACAGTGGGAAGCTCTGAAAACACAAACAGAGGAAGGTGACAGCAGCTGAGATGACCTCAAACAGGCATTAAGCAGAGAAAAGCCAAGAGTAGCAGTTATTATAACATCTATGATGGGTCCACAGAAGTTCTGTTTTCTTGTTGAAGTATCAGGAAAAGCAGCAAACTTGGCAAAACCCAGAATTAACGAGTAACATGAAAATACAGCTCCACAGACAGTGTTTTTCTGACACTTATATTTGAAGTCTAGGTAGCAAGAAAAGAAAATGCTTGCAGAGCCCAAGGGCTCAGCCCAGCACCCTGAGCTGATGAGAAGGCAGAAAGAGCTGTGTAACCCCAGCCTCGGGTAACCACTCCAGTGTGTGCTGCAGGATGGCACAAACCCCTAAGGGCAAACGTCCTGCACCTGGGCAGAGTCCCAGACACAGGCAGGAAGGCAGGCAAACCTCCATGGGCCTGTCAGGGCTGAGGCAAACACAGCCAGCAGCCCACGTGTCGGGAGGGACAGCAGCTGCAGTGGAAAAGAAGCCCTTGACACACTTTTTAGCCTGCCACTGCATAGTCTTTAAAGTACCCCTAAAATAGGTCTAGTGCCAAAATTATAGCCCACATCTCAGATGCATTACTGAAAAACAAGGTACTGAGTCTGAGAGTCCATACAAAGGAAGTGTGCAAAACGATCCTGAAGTTCATTTCCCTTGGGAGTTATTAACAGCTCTGGACAGAACAGGGCTCACCTTCCCCATCGAACGTCCCTTGTCCTTTCAGCATCTTCTGCAGATAATTTTAACAGAAAAGAGAGCTATGTTAGTAGGAGGAGAATGCAAAATAATCACAGTAACAAGAATGTGTGTTTTACTCAAGACTTGGGCACCAAACCAACAGGCCCTAATCTGTAAACTTCGTATGTTGGACACGAGTTCACTAAAAACAACTGTGTCATCAGAGAAAGTGAAAAGCTACCCTAGTTTCATTTCTCTCATACCTTGTTTAGATGTTCAAAAACACACTACACTGGCACGAGAGGGGTTCAGGGAACTTACAGCTCATCCCTCTGTGCCAGGGCTGTCTGTGGAGGCGCAGCTCTGAGAGGCTGCCCTTCCACTCTGCAAACAAAACACTCCGAGCACTTTGTCAAGGAGCCTTCTGAGAGCACAACAAACCTCGGAAACAAAACAGCTGTTCTGGTGCAACAAGTCCCAGGGCCCAAGAGCCTATTTAATAAAACACTACTCACAGAGAACTCCGTAAGGACAGCACAGTTTCATGTCCTATCTTAAACATAACACACTGCTTTAAGTCTGCTACCAAACCACACTCCACAGCTGTTCACAATTGCATCAATTTCTATTTCACCCTTGCAGTGTTTTCACAGAAGCATCCACTACCATAATTTCAAACTGGTTGAAAACTGCCATAAAGCTGATAATTATTTTAAAAGCTACAGCATCAGCTCTTGGCCTGATGTACTTTATTACACAGAAATCTATGAATACATTTCATACAGTAACAAGTTATATCTAAAATAAGGAAATACAATACTACAGCATGATAAGTAAAAGAACACTATCAGTATATCTCTATAATTGAATACATAAACATTCAATGTAACTCTACTATAGGATTCTAAGGGATTACAACCAAGATTTAAAAATAGGCATGCTGCTTTTACTTTCAAGCATTAAAAATTAAAATAATTTTCAGGCATTAAAATACCTGAAGTCATTTCTATCAATTTAAAAATTACTCCGTGATTTTTTAAAATACTTTAAAAGTAATGTCTCAGAGAAGCGAGAGAGGAAGTTCATTTCTCTGTCTTTATTCTAGCACGCAGACTTTATTAAGACAATGTCCCTTTTTTTTTCCTGTTTAATGCTTTCTGGGACACAGGTTTTAAGCCCCTGGTTCGGTTGTGAAAGCTGGAGAATCCAGCAGGAACACCGAGCAGGAGGCAGCCAGCAAAGGCTCTGAACCGCCTGGATTTCAACAGAGCCCTCACCTGGAAAACAGCACTTTTAAAGCTCACAGTTACTAGGAAAAGTTTTGCACTGGGACGAAAACAAACTGAAAGTTCCCAGCATTTATGGCAAATGCAGGATCAGCAGGCCACGCTCCCACGGAGCCAACCCCTTCACCTATCAGCGCACCTTACTTACCTTTATCCTCCCCAGGCTCGAGAACTTCTCCTTATCTTCAACCACCGCTTTCAGGATGGGCTGGGACATTCTGTTTTTCTTCTTGCACTCGGCGGAGCCGTCCAGGTCCACGCCGCTGACCACGGCCCGGCGGTAGGACGTGGAGCGCAGCCCCCGCCGCAGCGCGCCCGGGCCGCCCTCGGGCTCGTCCTCGGGGTCGCTGCCCGGGGCGGGCCGGGGGGGCTCCGGCAGGCTGCGCACCCGGAGGCCCCGCTCGGGGCCCTGGCCGCGGCCCGCGGGCCGGCTCTCGGCCAGGCTGCGGGGGATCAGCTGCTGCGGGCCCGCCCTGCGCACCGCGGGGCTCTGCGGGCCGGGCAGCGCGGGGGGCTCCGCGCCCGGCCCCGCCGGACCGCTCCCGGGGCACGGCCGCGGCTCCGCCGGGACCCCGGCACCCCGGCCGTGCCCGGGGGATGTTCCCGGCTCCTCCGGGGCCCCGGCACCCCGGCCGTGCCTGGGGGATGTTCCCGGCTCCTCCGGGGCCCCGGCACCCCGGCCGTGCCTGGGGGATGCTCCCAGTTCCTCCGGGGGCTCGGCAGCCCGGCCGCTCCCGGGGAACCCTCTCGGCTCCTCCGCAGCCCGGCCGCTCCCGGGGAACCCTCCCGGCTCCTCCGGGGCCCCGGCAGCCCGGGGGCACGGTGCGGGCTGAGCGCTGGCTCCGAACACGATCCGCTGCTGCTGCGGGGCCAGCCCCGCGGTCCTGGGCGGCCGCGGCCGGCGGCCCTGCGCGCTGCCCGGCGGGGAGATGGTGCCGTTGGCGGTCGAACCGACGGGGCTGCCCGGAGCCAGGGCGAGCAGCCGGGAGCGACGCTCCGGGGACAGCGCGGGCGAGCCCGGCGGCCGCACGGTCCCGTTGGACACCGATCCCATGGCGGGGCTGCCGGTGCCGGCGGGCTGAGTCACGGAGAGGGCGCACCTGTCCTCCACGGGGAAGTCGGTGACGAGCAGTCCGCTGGGGCTCTGGTACGACTGCGGCCGCGGCTTGCTCCAGCCGAGGGGCTGCGGGCGGGGGGTCGCTCGCCGCCCGCAGCGCGGCACGGCGGGGCCCGCCGGGGGCTGCCCGTCCATCGCCGCCCGCCCGGCGCCGCCCGCGAGGGAGGCGGGCGCGGAGCGCGGCCCGAGCGCCGCCACAGCCCCGCCGGGCGCGGGGCCAGCGCGGGCCGGGCCGGGCCGGGCCGGGCGGAGCCGCGCCGCCCCACCTGCGGCTCGGCTGGGGGCGGGCGGAGCGGCGCTTCCGCCGGGGCACGGCCCCTGCCCCGCCCGGGCCGGGCTGCCCCGGTGCCTGCCCCGCCCGGGCCGGGCTGCCCCGGTGCCCCGGTGCCCCGGGACCTGCCCTGCCCTGCCCGCGCAGCGAGCCGCGCCCGGGGCCGCGGGTCAGCTCTGGGCAGGAGCCGGGCCGCGTTACCGCGGGCTGGGTGAGGAGAGCCGCGGGCAGCACGAACTGCCCGGCCCCCGGTTCGCTGCAGCGACAGCGCCGGGCGGGGTGTGCCGGGGATCCTGTCCCACCGGGGATCCTGTCCCGTGGGGATCCTGTCCCGTGGGGATCCTGTCCTGTGGGGATCCTGCCCCGCCGGGGATCTGTTTGATTGTGCGCCTGGCACCGGCCGTGGTGGCACCGGCACACCCGTGCCTCGCTGTGCAGCGGTGCCCCAGCGGGACCCCCGGCCGTGCCCCCACACCTGCCCGCTCTGTGGGGGCACCTGGCCGGCTGGCACTGCCCGGCTGCCTGCCAGCGAGCCGGGAGAAGGCTGGAAAGGAACAGCTTCGTGGTGGAAAAATGGGTACATGTCCCAGTGTATCTGCCGGGAATTCTGAGAAACTACATCGCCCTGAAAAACCCGTAACAATGGTGAAACTTGGCTGTGACTTTGGGACAACATATAGCTTAAACATACATCAGTGGAGAACACAGTAGATTTTTAAAAGAAAAACAAAATATATGCTCATTTCTGTGCCAGGGCACGAGTTCTGCCCACTCTAGCAGCCCAGCCAAGGGTCCCTGCACTCCCAGAAGGGGAGAGCTTCAGCAGAGTCCTGAAATAAAGTGACATGGGTGTTTTCCTGCTCTGTTACATTCACTAATAATTACAGCATACCCTTATTTTGCTATCTGCTTCTCTACAGTTAAATCTGCCTCTACTTCCACTGGAAAAAAAAAAAAAGTGTTTTAAAAGCCATCTTGCCACAGCACAGGGGAGGATTTACATGAGAAATTAGCTCCCCTATTAAATGCCACTTTGGCTAGCAATGTAAAATACCATATAGAATGCTTCCCTAGTACTGAATCACAAAGCTGAATTATTTGTCTGGTTTCCCTCAAATGCACGAAAGGCAAAATCTAGGTGTGATTCTGTTCCTGTGTAATTGGAAGTAGCTGGAGTGTTTGGAGATGGTGGAGGCCAGGCCCTGCCCGCACAGTGAGAGCTCTGCCATGCAGGGGGTGCTCAAAATTACTTATTTATTTACAGATGGGCGCCCACTTAGGCTCCTGGCTAAACTTGAAAGGAGAAGGGACAGAAAAAATATTGTTACTCCATACTTGCAAGACTTGAATTTGCCAGATTTCATATATCGCTGAATAAGAAAATAGAATCAGAGTAGATGTAAAGTGCTTTGTTATCTTTTTAAATATATGAAAATTTAATTTATACTGAGTCTGTTTAACAATCAGGAAAAAAATATAGAGGAAAATGTAAGGACCAGACAACTCTGTGTACATGCACTTAAACTTCAGATGTACTATTAATTCTTCTGCCAGGACAACCCAGTAAAACAAAAAATCTTGCTAAGAATCAAATTAAGCAATGCACAAAGAAATTAAAATGAACAAATGTGTATGTCCACAAATGAGACAAGACTGCAAATTGCCACTCCAGCTTCAAACAGCCAGAGCTGAAGGGAAAAGCCACAGGCAGAACCTAAGATGCTGGTTTAGTTGTCGCTTCGGATTTCCCAATGGATTATTTCTAAAATTATCTCTTTTAACTTTCCACATGAAATTGCCAAGCTATTGGATATAGTTGCAGCATATTACTTAACTCATAAATCCTAATTATTAATGACCAAGGTAATCAGCTTTTACAAGATTATTCTTTTGCACATACTTATTCACTGTGCTACAGTTACAGGAGTAATTTTGATTCCTGAGCAGCCACCTCAGTGTTCCATTTCATGCACAGTAAAAGAGAAATAACACCTTACAATAAAATTGCCATCATCAGGAAAGTAAAACCAACTCTGTAATTTAAGAGAAGAAAGAAATGTAAGTGTGGTTATTAAAAGAATCCCGAGGCTGTAGTGTAGCAGTGCCCAGGGTGAGCTGCTCAGGGCAGGGCAGCGGGTCCTGCCCAGCGCAGAGCCTGCAGCACCCTGGGGATGGGGGCAGAACCTGCAGGGCAGCTTTCCTCCCACCTCCACAGCGCTCCAGTTAACCCAGAACACACCTTGAGCACTCGCAGGGAGAGTTTGAAGTCAGCCTCCCACTTCCCAGCCACAAGAGCTAGAGGCTGGTGTCAGGAGTCAGCACAAACCAGCAGCAGTTCCACACCTGCCCGCAGCAAACACTCCGGGACATCCAGAAGCCCACGTTTATCATAACCAGCATGAGGCACATGTGCACAGGTATGTTCAGCAGGGAACATTTTTATTGCCTGAAAATCTACCAAGGAAAATGGAGGATTATTCTTCTGCTCCCTACATCCACATCAAAACCACTTTGCCTCTGTGCAATCAAAGAGCAAAAGCAGCAGTGAGACCTGGCTTTATTGATGACCCCAGTGCTTCATGTCTCAAGCAGTGCTCACTGCTGCTGGCCTGTCGGGTGGTGCTGGCCATGCCCCGCAGCTTCAGAGCTGTGCAGGTGACCTGGCTGCTGGCTGGAGCCCGGTCCCTGCTGCCTCTGGCCTCCCCAGGGCCACTGCCAGCACACTGTCCCCTCTGTGCCCCCAGAGAGGGAGTGGCTGCAGGACAAGTGCCCAGCTGGTGCCCAGCTGCTGTGACCCCCAAAGGAAGCGCTGCATGTCCCACCTGTGTGAGCTGCCAGCTGGGGAGTAGCAGTATAATAAATGACATTCTCTGAAACTCTGTGTTTCCTCGGGCTGCTGGCAGGCAGCTGAAGGAGAGCTCCCAGCAGGTCTGTCCCAGGACTGGCATGCAGGGGCTGAGGCTCCCTCTGTCCCACACAAGCCCTTGCCCAGCACAGGGTGACAGGGGCACCACGAGCAGAGAGCAGAGGAGGTGTCATTGTGACAGCCAGGCACTGGGACACCGCTCTGCTTTCACTGCTTTCCAGGGACACGAACCAGGGAGTGCAGCCTCTTGCCAATGCAAGGAGCAGGATTTTCCCAAGGAGGACCCGGTTACTGCAGCAACACAGGCAATCCCACAGCACTGCCAGAGCTCAGGAAGGGTCCAGCCTTCTGACCTCCTGCCCCTCCTTCTTTTCTCTACAACTGTCCATAGGCTGTGAGAGACTTTACCCTGAACACTGCTCAGCCGAATTTTAACTGTAAATCAATCCAAGATGGCAGAACACATTTAATTATTCCTGTTTTCCTCTTAATTGCTTTTTTCCCCAGCAATAATAGAAAGCTTTGTAGCATTCATTGAAAGCTTTAGGGGAAACCCACATCTCATTGTACTGCAGGAATAAAGGACCTGGTAATGCCCATGGAGCATCAAAGTTGAAACAAGATGCTGTTTCAACTGGGATGAAAAGAAAAAGAGTAAGAAAGAATGTGTACCCAAGAAACACACTGAGGACTGAGGGGCTGCTGCCTCTGTTACTCCTGTCATGGAGGTTACAAATTCTTCTCTATGATTGTAAAATGAACTTTGCATTTGCTAATATCAAGACTGATATTACTTGTTTCCCAGCCAATTTCCCAGCACTATTTCCTGATCACGGCTCTTCCTTTGCTGCCTCAGAGGTGGGTGCAGAGATTGTCTCCTCTGTGAGAGAAGGAGGGAACCTGGCAGCTCCATCATTTATAGAGCTGACTGGGAATTTTCCAACTGGAAGTACTTGAGATTTCAATATATTTCAATATATTTCATATTTGGTGTGTGCATATTTCATATTTTGACATGAAAAACATTTCCCACCTTGTTTGAATTATATGTTCTTCTTTGGTTTTCTTTTAATTTCCCAACACAGTCTATACCTCTCAATACTTTCACTAGTAAAACTTCCACAGGCTTCAAGGTAGATAATCATGCCCAGTAAGATGAGGTCAGTCTAATATTAAAGTAGGTAATTTCTGTCAGAGATTACCAAATGTCCCAAAAGTTACACCTATTTTTAATTTTTATTCAGTGAGTATGAAATGAATCTGAATATTAAAGGATAATTGTGAAACTGGGAAGTGTGTCCCTTCGTCTCCAGTTTAGCTGATACAGTCTTTTTTCCAGTTTTACAATTCCATTTTAAAATTCTGACAGTGAATTTCCCCTCAGTAATTCAGAGACCATTCTTTCCATAGGAGAGCAGTTAAGAGAGAGTCCTAGAAAATGTAGATAGAAGCTCTTTAATCCGGCGACTGTATTTCATAAGATGTTGCTATTTAAAGAGTTTGCAGGATTTCAAACATGACCTAACAAAAGGATGGAGGCACTGCTTGCCATAGCTGGAGAGTTTTTGTGGTTGCCATTAGAAACTCAAGCAGGCTGGGAGCCTGCACGGGCAGTCTGTGCAGCTCAGGGCTGGATTGCTGGCTCTGCTTTGTTCTCCCTTTGTCAGCCCTGCACACAAATGCCTGAGCAAGGGACAGGGGACCAGGGCACGTCTCCAAAGAGCTGCTGCTTATTCCCTAAGTTTGGTTGCTGCTGGATTTTTGGTGTGGCTTTTCTTTATTTTTAAGGAATGAACATTCTGCCCGTACAGAAATTAAAAACAAAACAAAAGAAGCAAACAAAAAGGAGATGTTTTTTGATTTGTTCCCTTGTTTGTTGATGGGTAGCAGTTTCTGGGTGTGCTGCATCGCTGCCGCTGTGCAGTGGGAGCAGGAGGCAGCTGCT